ATTTCGAGAGCAATAAGAAGAGCCGGACACAGAAGGCTCTGAAGAGGATACAGGCCAAAGGCGGCTCGACTGTGGGACAGCGATCAATCCCCAGCCCAGCCCTAGAAGAGGCAGAGGACACCTCGGAAGAAACTCTGTTCGGCGAATCGCTCACACGAGAGACCACTGTAACGCCGTCTCCAGAACCACGCCAAGCTGCTGGACCCGAATGCAAGCCTTGGACGGTCACACCAACGACATCCTATCCGCTCCTTCCTCCACCTGCCAACATCGACTCACCAGACCTCCCAAAAGTCAATCCGTCCTCATACGCCCTCTTCAAGCACCTACACAGCCTAGGCTACTTCCTTTCTCCCGGCATACGCTTCGGCTGCCAATTCTCCGTCTATCCCGGCGACCCGCTACGCTTCCACAGCCACTTCCTGACCATGAGCGCCGACTGGGACGAGGAGATCGATCTCCTGGATCTGGTCGGCGGCGGCAGGCTGGCGACGGGGGTGAAGAAGGGATGGCTGGTTGGCGGTGTTGAGCACAAGGGGGAGGAGGGTGAAGGAGGCAAAGGTTCAGGGGAGGCAGCAAATAGGGGCACGGATGACGGAGCCAGAGTCAGGACGTTTTGCATTGAGTGGGGAGGCATGTGAATGAAAAAAAATCATCCGACAATCTCGTGTCATAAACATACTACGAAACGACTAATACCGCACGGCGGCTTGCCCGCTCGAGCCTTTGAATGATTACCGCTGGACTTGCAAGGCACTGGGCAGATGTGAGCTACCCGATCTACTGTTCCCCAAGTGTAGAATACTGGCTAACACGCTGTAACAGAACCTAAGATGCAGTCGACCTACACCAAGAGAATTTTTGATCAACCTGCAGAGGGGGCACTGGTCTGTGGACTCTCATAAGATTCACAGCAAGCTGGTCCTAAGGCCGCCACTTGTATGTTAGGTAGCTTGCCTGATGTGCAGCTTTTCATTTTCAATGAAGAAAACGGGGCGACCGTCCGTGCGGTGACACAACGCCTAGTATTTCCACGTAAAAATAGTTCAAACTTCCCATATGTCCGATTCCCATCATATCAATCCACCGCAAATCCAAACCACCTAGGGACCCAAATGCCCTCCCTTCCTCCATTCACCTTTCCCAGACCCTCCCCAATCCCACCCCCGCCCCCTCACTCCCTCTTTACAATCCTGGGCAATCCCACCCAACACCCCAACATCCCCGCGAACAACCCGATACAGATCGGATGCAAGACCCACGTCCCGACCTCCTGGGCCAAAACCCCCGTCACCAACGGCGCCACCGCGCCGCCGGAACTGCCCAGCGCCGACACGGCCGCCAACCCGCTCATCTGCAGCCGCTTCGGGATCAACGACGCGAACACGGCGGTCGCGGCGGGGTAGACGGGCCCGAGCAGGAGGCCGACGACGGAGACGGCGACGGCGTCGCCGACGGCGTTGGGCACGAACCAGACGAGCAGCTGGAAGGCCGCGGCGCCGAGGACCAGGGCGATGACGGCGCGCTTCTCGCCGACGCGGTGGGCGGGGTGCGAGAGCAGGAAGCGGCCGAGGGTGACGCCGGCCCAGAAGCCGGCGGTGACGTAGCCGACGTGGGCGGGGGAGGAGTGCCGGTAGGAGATGAGGAAGGAGATGACCCAGCCCGAGATGCTGACCTCGGCGCCCTGGTAGCAGAAGATGAAGAGGGCGCCGAGGACGGTGGTTTTGTGCGTGAGGGCGGCTTTGAGGAGGGTGGAGCGGGAGGGGGGCGCGGGGTGGGGGTTCGAGGGGGTGGGGCGCAGGGGGTTGAGGGGCGGGGTGTCCTTTTCGTAGTTGCGGAAGGAGAAGAAGGCGAGGAGGAGGTTGAAGATGGTGATGGATAGGGAAATGAAGTAGAAGGTGGACCAGGGATGGTTGTGAGTGACCAACGCCGTCGCCATCAGTGGACCGATCGTTGCACCGATGCCGTAGGACCCATGCAAGCAGCCCAGCGCGGTCGTCGCATTGGCGAGGTTGGCTGAGAAGACGTTGTTCGGAGCCAGATTTGTGGCTATGCCTAGGCCTAGGAACAGGAAAGAGACGACGACGACGGGAAAGGGAGGCCTGCAGACCAGCATGATGTAGGCTGCGGCCATGATGGACTCGGCTAGAACAAGTGTCTTGGCCCGGCCCAAACGAGCCTGCAGGAGCTGGTTGACAGGAGCAGCTGCGATGAAGCCAACGGCGTTCGTGACGAAAATGAGCGAGACAATCGCATAGCCGATCTTGTAGTCCTTTTCCATGTAGGGAATGAGAGCGCCAGGGGCTGCGTCGTTCAGACCGTTGCCGAAGTTCATCAGACAAGCACTCAAGAGTCGCCACTTGTTGATTGGCGGGTTCGTCCACGTTTGCACGACTTCGGCGGCATCGTGATATTCCGGTGTAGGTGGGCGGGACATCTCCAATTCATGGAGACTTCTTGGAGTCTGACCACCCGAAGGTGTAAGTGGTAGCGGAGGACCATTATCACGAGGGGTCCTGTTCAGCTCGTCCAGTTCGTACGCGGTTGGCAAGTCAGGAAGAGCATGAGAATCCTTTTTGAGAGCGGCCGGAGGGTCGGTAATACGTGAGTCGATATCAATAAGGGCTCCGAATCCTCTTTGTGATACCATAATTGACTTGTGTCGAGGGTTCAGTCTTGTATTCGAGACGCTTTCTCAAAAAAGGAATTATATATATTCTGTTGAAAGACTTTATATATTGGCATGCAAAAGGGTATATATCATGACGAGAGAGTTAACGTATTTCCCAATACCCAAGAAACTTTTCATCAGCCAAGGAGGTAAGCCCATCCATTGGGATGATAGATGGGTAACCTGCTCAATATTGTGGGAAAAGATAGCATTTCCCTTTTCCGTCAAGTGCCGGCCTTTATTCGGCTTGAAGGCCAAAAATCAGCCTTACCCACACGGCCGGCTTGGTAGCTCGAAGCCTTCACTCCCCTCATTGAAATAACATAAGAGAGACCAAACAAAGCGAATCTCTGTAATGGGTCGACCGAAACGCAAATTGCTAGCGACGGCAGCGGAGACATCCTCTCCACCAGCGGTCTTGGACCAGGGTCATATGATCGCTTTGGTCAAGAAGGCAGAGGGCAACAACTTGTACTCAGTGGAGCTGCCTTCGGGGAAAGAGCCACTGTTGGCCGAGCTACCGTCTCGCTTCCGTTCACAGATATGGATCAAACGTGGCGGGTATGTCGTGGTCGACAGCTCCGCATTTGATGACAGAGAGAACAAGCTTGGTGGAGAGATTGTCAACGTGGTGAGAGACGAGAAGCAATGGCGGAAGCAGGCATATTGGTTGGTGTCCTCGAGTTCGAGCAATGTGCACTGCTAATGCGTCAGTGGAGGCCTCCAGAATTTGTCAAGAAACCCACCTATCTCGACGACAGCGAGGAGGATGAATCGACCGCAGGCAAAATGCCACCAGCTGAGGAGTCGGATTGCGGAGAATGATCCCATTGCTTTGCATTCCAGCATCCATCACTCATCATGTTCCTTCTCTTCGCCCGCAATATCCGCGGGAGGTGCAACATCAGCAAGGTCATCCCTTGTGCCCCACCATACAGACAACACCTGAACAACCAAACACCCTACTACCATGATCGAGCTTGCGTCGGTACTCGGATACACGTTCCACCCCCACTCTTGAGCCCCCCCAGACTGCGTATATGAAGATTGGATGCAAGCCAGCTTTCCAGAGCAGAAACGGTGTTGACCAGGCGATATAAGCATAGAATTGGTAGTGAAGAGACCGTGCGCACAGCATGCCGATAGCCATAGAGTTCAGAATGGATGTCATAATGAAGGATGGTGACACATTGATGGACATCAATTGCTGGGCTTTCGGCGGAAGAGGCTTGATTGCGGTGGATATCAAAGCTGGTATTGAAAGGCCAGACGGTCGAGTCCAACGAGTCAGAACGAAAGTTGAGAGCAATGCAAGATGGACAGCAATTAGGGTTATAGCAAATTCCCTGGACAAGAATCTTTCTTCCCCGACAAATCTCCAATTGACGGTCCATTTGAACAAGAACTGTCGAGTGAGCTCGAATGACCGAGCGAGATAGCCTTTCGCGTTGGCTGGTAGAAACGGAAAGGCAAGGGTGATCTGTTGTACGGCGTCAGCCTTGTTTCGCGGCATTCGCGATTGTAAGAAAAAGACTTACCTGTATCTGTGCCATGAGAAACACAGCATTCATTGCCCTGTTGAAAGGCAGCGCCTGCAACAATATGAGTCCAACTGCGGGAGCAGCCAGCAAAACGCTCATCTTAATACCGACGCCGAACGAATAGACAACGCTTCCGACGGTCCAGATTCTTCGTTGGTAGAAGTATATAGCGGTGAAGAGCGCCAGAATAGCAAAGCAATCGTTGAAGAGTCGCAGGAGAAATAGGCTGTGGAGTCTTTTCGAGAGGATGAGGAGGGGAAATATGTATGGCGGTGCCTGCACTGGTCAGCACAGGCCCAGAAGTTTGTCGCTAGCTTTTCTGTCGTAGCCCGAAATCCTCATACCTTAGCCATACGGTAGCAAGCCATAGCCATGCTCACGGCGCCAAGATACACAACAGCAAATGTACATTGAGCGATTAAGATATCAGCTCCTTTGTCCGTAATGAGGTATAGAGCGTTGTATATGAATAGATGCGCTGCTGGGTAAACCAAAGGACCTGCCATTCAGATTTAGCACCCAATAATAGAGATACGAGGCACATTTCCGAATCCAACCTGTGTCGCCTTTAATGAGGGTGTAGTCGCGCTCTCCATTTCGATACTGTTCAACCTGCTGCATGTAGGCTCTCCAGTCGATTTCAGTGTCTAGCCTGGGCGTCAGCTCCATCCTTTGCGGGTTGGGCCAAAAAGCTTCCTCTCTCGTTGGCGCAGGAGCTCGGGGACCAAAGCTCACAAGGTATTTTCCAGATGATGAGGGCGCAGAAAACGGCGTCCGCAAGGAGAAGGAGGGGCGAAAGCCATCTTGTATGCTTGGGGTTGCTGGCTAAATCGATGGCCTGGTGGTAAAGGTCCATTGCGCCGGCGATGATTTGGAGAAGAGGGAGCTCTCTTAAGCTTGATGGCGATTCCAGCTCACCCGCGTTCTCTTGGCACTGTAAGCACTGAAGCAGACGAAATCTGCCCCCAGCTTATTAAGGTAGCCGGGGCCCGCCCCGGGCCGCCTCTTTTCACGGGGGGTTTGTTTTTGGGTTTTAAAAAATAAATTATAAAATATTTTTTTTTTTTCAAAATTTTTTTAACTAAAAAAAAAAAGTTTCAATGACAACATTTTGTTATATAAACTACTCTAATTGAATAATTATACATCTCCCTAGCTAGAATAATAAGCGTACGTTTGAATGGTTGATTAACTATTCGACTTAAAATTTCCCCCTAGTTTTGCAACTCCCGGAGCTGGGTGTGATCCAGCACCTAAGCCCGGGTAAGCAAGCTCATCCTTCATCTTTCTTTATCCAACTCCCCAATGTTCGAAAGCTCAATTTAAGTATCAAGCCTTTGATGTGTAGATAGAATACATAGCAGTATATAGCCGAGCTGTTGTCCATTAAACAAAAGGTAGTCAATCCTGCTGGAATCACAGCTCCTCCGTTGCTGGTAAGGTTCTGGAAACGGTCACCTTTCAACCAAACGTAAGACCACCATCTCCATCTTGCCGCCCTTCGTCCAATCCCGTGGATATAGCATCCCCCGACGACCTCATACTCTTCATCCCGTCGGGAACGTAGTACGATTGGAATTTGGGAGCCTGCCGCCACAGCAATCAGGTCCCCCTCCCTCCCTTTCTTGGGCACCCATCCAATTCTCACTTTGCTCGACAAGCAGAGTCGCCGACCATCAGCTGTCTGCACTATCCGTTTCTGAGCCTCCATGATATGCTCGCATCTTGGGTCGCTTGGCTCAACGGACACGGTTCCCCAATGGCTCTGTAACCACTCGTGTGTTGGCACTATCTTGCTCAGCTCGACGGTAGTCCGCGTCTCGTCCGCCGACGACTGTATGTGATCTCACTTCTTCTTTTACGTCCTCTGAAGAGCCGTATGCTGTACTCTTATCGATCATCTTCCGAAACTCGGTATGGATTAACCCCATTTGAGTCCACTCGAAATCGTCGTACGACTGTCCTGTTTCTTGTGCGCAACATTCTATTTGTGTGCCAACAGCTTCGATTCCATCGACGACTACATTTAGGGCTAGGAGAGTATCGCCTTGTACTCTGAGTCGCGCTCGCTCGATTAGCGGGCCTGCTGCACAAAAAGGGGTCTCTGTCCGAGGTGAGTGAGTCGATAAGTAATCCTTTGGCTGACCAGGTCGGAACCCAGGATGAGTTGAACAAGCAGCGAAGACTCATTCATTTCGCATACCTCTAATAACCGTAATTCCTGACTCTGAACGATCGCATGTACTGCGAAGTCGCGATATAAAGTACGCGGGTCAATATCGTAGGTTGGAAGATACGGGAGCGAATTCTCATTCTTTACGAGTGACAGCACTCCATACATAGATCTTGTCCCTTGGGTCACTCACCTGCCTCGCTTGGGTCATCTTCATTAGCTCGAACACGGGAAGACCTGTGTTTCCCCATATTTCTTGATGCCCACAAGCTGATTTAGGCCTTTGTTCGCGCGAGTCGAGTTGAATTACGCAACCTGCATGATGTTCTCGTCACATCAGTGACTACACGACTCCAATCTCTTATGCTCCCCGGAAAATTTGTTTCTTGCGATCAAGAACCTCTTTCACTTGAAGCGGCATACAACCTTAGCATGGGGTTCCTGTATTCGATTCCTCCCACATCGGCTCTGATTCTGTTCCTCCACGCTCACTATTCTCAAATAATTGATCATGCTGAAAGCCGCGTTTGGTCCAGAGCTGTCCTCGTGCCACAACGTCACCGACTTGGACCTCATCATCCCGATGACCTTCCAGGATCGCTTTCAGAGGCGTAACAAACAGCTTGGACCGCTGCTGATGGAGGGAAAGCTCGATGACTTCCCTCATCAGCCATTTTACGTCACCGATGGTTGACTTTATGGCTTCGACGCGTAGGTTCCCATTGTGCTGCTCACACCGTGCTTCATAACCATTCCAGACACCACCATCTTTCAACCCTTCGGTATACAGACACTTCGCTACCGGCTCACTGGAGAGTTCTTGGTCCAAGCCGATCCTCGTTCGACTCTGCTCAGCCAGACTTATCTGGGCTTTCGCTTGATCCAGATTTTGCTTCAATTCGCGCTTCTCCGGACTGAAATGATGCGTCGTGTCTTCACGCTGCTCAATATGGCTGATGAAGGCGCGCAAATGTCGGATGTCTCTGGCCGTGTTTTGAACGGCATCTATCCGACTGACCTTGCACCCCCTCCATCTTATATGTGATGGCCAGAGTCGCCTGGTTTAAGATTGCGAGTACCTTCACGAGTCTCCCAGTGCCTCTGACATCGTTTAGGAATGGCTGATAGTCCGACCTTCCCCGGACTAGTTTGCTCACCACATTGCCACCTCGTCTCGGATTAGCTAGCCATTGGTTTACCCTGGACGATCTTTTTCGTGCTTGATACAGTTTGCCATTGAGCAGTGTCTCTTGAATGATTAAATCATAACACCGTTTCCCCCCCACGGTCTCTTGCACGGGATATCTCCCTGGTGTCATATAAATGATGTTATCGAGGTCTTGGGGACTAATGACATATCTGCTGTCGTCGGTCATGACATTAGTCAACTCAGTGCAATCCGATCTAGGGTGAACCTCGACGGGAGGGATGTCGTTGATCGTTCTTAGACGTCCTGCGTATTGCAGAGTGTTGAAGATCGATGTGGATCTGAAGCCCTCGTCTGGCCACTTGACAATCCATGAGAGGAATTTCCGGTCGAGATCGTCGACTGTCCGGGGAAGGAGATAGCCATCTTCGGGATTTCTCCTCATGAACATGTTCCAGATATTACTATGGTCTTCATCTATGTTGGCGTTGCCACTTTCTAGTGGAAATCCAACGATGGCGGGCAACAACGCGCTCAAGAATACCCGCGGGTTGATCGAAAACAAAGGAAGAGCTTCAAGATCAACAACTCAATGTCGGGTCGGTCAGTTTTGAGCTTATACGTCGCTTCCAAGAAATCCTTGATCTCCGCAAGATCTTCATTGTTCCAGAGCGACAGGAGTAACACAACCATTTGCGGGAACGCGGTCCGATGTGTTTCTGGGTCGAATCGTCGCTACCGGTAGGATCCAGAGAAGCGTAAGATGCTGCGCTGAGCGAGATAATCTCTTTGATACCCTTGCTGGTGGTCAGGGTTTTGAACATTGGTCCATTAGTCCATAGAAGTGTTCTCGGAATTGATGATGCGTACTCTCGCGGACATGGTAAAGAGAATCGGACTTCTTATGCAAAGACGACGTGCATCCTTGATCATCGTTTCGAGAAGAGTCCTAGTCTCATCAGACGTCATCTTCGGGCTCCCTTTGGCTATTAAACTTTGATAAGTTGACCATCAAGTCCCAAAGGGAGCTTCCGTCGGCTTCGACCAACAGTCCCCTCAGATCCCAGTCCCCAGTTTGAAGATCTTTGACGATGGTCACATGCTCGCTGTCGATGATTACTGTATCAGGATATCGCTTGCGCCGAGCGAGTGCCCTTTGTCGATCTGGGAATATTTGGTCACGCTCACGCGCCTGATACTCGGCTCTTGCGAGATTACTCGCGGTTTGATCAGTCTGCACAATCTGCAAATCTTGAGATATGTTAAATTGGCTGAGAAGTGAGCCTGCTGTAGCTACTCGCCAAAGCGCGTCCTTATGGTCAGCCTCTTTCTCTTCTATATCGAGTTGTTCGCTGCGGTTGACCTGGGATCTGTCGGCTCCTAATAGAAACTTCAACCCTACTGCGAGTATGGGTGCCGAGACTAGGACCTTTTCCAGAGCGAAGCCTTTTGCGTATATCCGCCGTCGTCGGGGGTCGATTTTCAAGTGGTCCATATCGTCGAATCTCACGCGCTCTAGACGCCTATCAGCGGAATCCAACAACACGAATTTCCCTATAGCTTACTATGATACTCTGTATTCTCATCAACAATAGGAAATCCCTTATTCTCTCGTATCGGTTTACCCACGAGAACATAATGAAGCTTAGTGGCAAGTCGAGAATCCATCATTTCCTGAATCACCTGCAGCGTTTTTCTCAACGAAGTTGAGGGCTCTCCAGACAACTGGTCCACATGATCGACCACCACGATTAACTCTTTGTTCTTCCTGAGTTCAATCACCCCACTTAATAGCCTCCTGAATGTTTCCAAGACAGCGTTGGCCGCGTCTCGATCTGTCCGGCGATTCGCAAAGACCATTGAATCAATAAACAAACATTCCCATATGCACATCCTTACTTGTTCATTCGAAATGCATCTATCATGTAACCCTTGGGCAACGATAGATTACAACAATATAATAGTCGTGCTTGACGTGATATTAGGATAATTTGAAAAAATCTTCCCTTCAGCCAGAGGGATTTGCAGGTCTTCACGGCAATCGAAATAAAGACTGTTGGTTCTCTTCCTCCGGCTTTGCCGGCAAAAAGTGAATTCAAAGTTTGAAAGCTGTTTGGTTGAACACCAGAGAAAGGTGGAAGTGGCCGCTCCGACAGGTGGATCCATCCATGCACAGTACGAACTTGTATTAGTCAACCAAACATGATCTTCTACAGTGAACCGCTCTTTTCTTTGACTTCAAAAGCCGCTAGATGTATACGTGCATGCTCCGCAAGAGCACAGGACGACTGCGTAAGCTCACGAAGCCCTAAAGGATGCATCAGTCCACCACTTTTTATGTATCTAGCTAACAGGGAAATGCGGCTTGTAATTCAGATAGAGTATGAGCTGTTGATAAGGAGAAGTTTGCCAAAGCCGACCTAGCGAATTGAAGCTTCCTCAAAATCACCTTAATCAAGGAGGCTGAAAGCGTTGTTCACTTTCGTAGATACTCCTTTGTTGATCTGATGATAACGGCGTTGTTCTGAGCCTCTTCTAGACTCACTTTTGCCAGACCTTGTTCGACTTTGAACCTATAATAACACAGCTTTTGGACGAGGTCAAGCCCGTGATCGTTGTAAAACTGGACGGCTGTTTTTTGAGTTTCGGTAGCGACGTCGAGCAGTTTTTGATTTAATAAGAATATATTTTTATATTTCTTTAACTTATTAGAAAGTTTAAGAATAATCTCTACGCTATTTATATAAATACTTTATATTTTAATTATATTAATAATTTATTTCTTATTTATAATTACTATTCTTATTATAATTAAAGTATAAAAAGTCTTATATTCTTTTAAAATATTCGCGAATTATTAAAATATTTAAATCTTAAGTAACTACTTTTTAATTTTAAAACGCTAAATTTAATCTTTTATATTTATCTTAATTTACTTATTAATTAAAACTAAAAGATTTAAAATTATTAAGAAATATTTCTTATTAATAATATAGAAAATATATTTATAACGCTTAATACGCTTTTTATAATTTAATATAAATAGAGATATAATACTCTTTTCATTTATAATTATAATACTTTATATTATTTAAATAAGATTTATTATTCTTAAATATATCTTTAAACTTATAATCTCTAAATTATTTATTCTTTAAGTTTAAATTATTTTATCTACGCGATAATTATAATTCGTTCTTACTTATATATTAAGAATTTTAATTTTCTTAATATTAATCTTCTTATAAGATAAAAATATTATCTATTTTATATTCTTTTAAATTTAAATTTTTTTTAAGTATATTATAAGTATTATAAGTTTATTTCGCTTAATTAATATAATTTAACTATTAGCTAATTAGTAACGAAGATTAAAATAAAGTTTTATAAAGAACGAGTAAAGGCCTATGAATTAAATTCATAACCATTTTTTTAATTAGGGCTGTCGAGTAAATTTTAATAAGCGATCTTTGATGAGTAATATCTGAATTCCTTGCTTTTAAATATCTATAAGACTAAATTTAATAATTCTTTTTTTATCTGAAAGCTCACATTTTATGCTATAATTTAAAATTTAAATCATAAAATTTTAATAGAAAATAAAAAAGTTATTCTAAAATTAAATAATGTGTACCTGATTAAGGCTGTCCGACTGTCGAGCGAACTTTGATGAGCGATATTTGAATTCCTTACGCTTTGATAATTATAAGACTAAATTTAGAAATTCTTTTTTTTACCTGAAAGCTCACATTTCGTTCTATAATTTGAAAAAGAATCTCAAAATTTTAATAGAAAAAAAAGAGTTATTTTATATATCAATAACGTACACCTAATTCTTGATGAGGAGGGCGAGATTTTGATGGTTGCGGACGCTAATTTATTTACCCGCGGTGTCTAATCAAAAAGCGTAGACCTATCGAATTGATGATTGGCTGCACATACAAATTCAAGGTTTTCAAGCTCAGCTCTACCTTATTCTATTATATATACTAATTAAATTTTTAAAATAATTTTTAAAATAGATATTAATTTATATCTTTAGAAATTAAAGATAATATTAATATATATATATATATTTTTTTTAATTAATATCTATATACGCTTAAATAATATTAAATCTATAATTTATTAAATCTATAATTTATTAAATCTATAATTTATTAAATCTATAATTTATTAAATCTATAATTTATAAAATCTATAATTTATAAAATCTATAATTTATAAAATCTATAATTTATTAAATCTATAATTTATTAAATCTATAATTTATTAAATCTATAATTTAATTTAATAGAAAGTTTATTAACTTTTTATTCTATACGAGTAAAGGTCTATAAATTAAATTTATAACTTTTTTTTTAATTAGAGCTATCGAGTAAATTTAATAAACGATCTTTAATAAGCGATCTTTAATAAGCGATATTTAAATTTCTTATCTTTAAAAAACTATAAGATTAAATTTTATAATTTTATTATTATTAAAAAGCGTAAAGTACGATCTATAATTAAATTTTTTTTATTAAATTTTAATAGAAAATAATAAAGTTATTAAAAGATTAAAAGTAGAAAAAGAGATTTTAATAATTACGAACGTTAATTTATTTACCCGCGATATCTAATTAAAAAGCGTAGATCTATTAAATTTATAATTAGCTATATATATAAATTTAAGATTTTCTAATTTAGCTCTATGTTATTCTATTATATATACTAATAATTATAATTTAAAAATCTTTTCTTTTAATTAGTCTATAGCTTTTTTTAATTACTATTAAAGATTTTAATAAGAAAGTTTTTTAAGATTAGATAAAATATCTTATTTATCTTTTATATAAATATTTAATATTTTTAAATTCTCTTTTTATAATAAACTAATAATTTCTCTAACTTAATTATCTTTTAAAAATACTAGATAATATTATTATATTTAAAATTAAAATTTAATTAAAATTCTCTTTATTTTATAAATTATTAATAATTTAAATATATTAGTATTACTATTATTACTATAATTTAAAAATATTTAATTTTATTTAAATAAAATAATTTCTACTTTTAAAAATTAAAGATAATATTTTTATATAAATTTATCTCGACTATAAGTAAAATATTAATTTCTATTATTTAATATATAAATTTATTTATTTATTTATTAATTAATTAATATCTTATTCTTTATTAGAGATACTTTCTTAGTAACTATTAATTATATTAATATTAATATTCTTATTACTTAATTCTTCTCTTAAATTATTATCTATAATTAATATAAAAATCTTTTTATTAAAGTTTATAATACGCTCTAATATCTTTAATTATATTATAATAATATTTTAATTTAATATTTTAATTAATAATAGTAATTTCTTTTATAAGTATTATAATAATACTTTTATAGTAATTATTATATTAATTTTAAATCGCTATCTTTAAATAGAATTAAAAGAATGAAAATTATTAAACTTAATTTTAAATTAGAGCTTTAAAGCTATATAGTAATATAGAATTAAAAAGATATATATATTTATATATAGATTTAATAATAAAATTAATTTTTAAGAAAGTAAAGAAAACTCGAGGGGATCGCTTATCTAAGCTTATCCGCTAAGACTCCGTCAAGCGTATGTAGATTAAGCGATCTAGGGTCCTCTCGGCGCTTAAGACCCACAAAGCCCCTTTTCTAACAGTCTGCCACTCAGTAGTGCACCATACCCCTGACATTAAGATAGGCTTCCGAGGTGTCCGATACTGACGAACCTACGAAACAAATTGCTATGGAACGTATGCGGTGTGATAATGCGGGTCAAGATTTCACTACCAAGGAGTTACAATGCCCAGATTATCGTATCCCGTGGTTACACCCACCGACGATTCGGAGAACTACCGACGTTCCCTGGTGGGGACCTACAGTAGGTCTGCTACCCATTGCCTTGTTTCTATACATGGGACAACCAAGCATCTCAGCTTCGGGCAGCCTTGGTGGACGAGACGGTCATCATTACGGCCTTTAGGATCCGCCCCCTCGTTTCTATGCAGGTAAGACGGAAAAGGCTGCGTAAGGCAACTAAAGAATCTCAGGCCAGACTGCCACGCTTATACTATGTAAGTCCTTCATACATGGATCCGCCCCCTCGTTTCTATGCAGGTAAGACGGAAAAAGCTCCGTAAGGTAACTAAAGAATTCAGGCCAGACTGCCACGCTTATGCTACGTAAATCCTTTATGTATGTGTCCCTAATCTGTTGCTCTCAGGAAATACCCTGATTTCTTCTGTAGCAGATACGGATGTTTATAAGAAAGGATAAAGGTGATGATAGGTCCGGCCCCGAGGCTTTAGTACTAGTACGATAGCCCTTCCCGTTCCAATCCTCCGACCCTGGGCCCTCGGGGGGATTGCATATATTACCCATCATCATACCGCTTCTCTCTATTATGAGTGACCCTGGCAGTCCTATACCAAGTATACCCATCATAGCCCGGACGGTACCAGTCCCTCCCCCGCCATGAATGAAGTCAAAGGCTACAGCAAGCCGAGTCATGGCCTCTTTCGCTTCATACCAGACGCATGGGTTCCGTACGCCGAACTCATGCGTCTCGACCGTCTGTCAGGGTTCTGGGCTTTCTACTGGCACTACTTGATAGGGCTTGGGTTTGCCATCAACATCCCCCCCATTCTCCAGCGATATTGATCTGAAAGCTCTTGTGCTCCTCGCAGCGCACATGGGATTATGGACGACCGTCTTCCGCGGCATTACCTGCACCTGGAACGACAACCAAGATCAGGACTTTGATCGCCAGGTCGCTCGCTGCCGAGTGAGGCCTATTCCACGGGGTGCCGTCACGACGGTGCAGGCGCAT